TATTATTATTTTATCTTTGTTTCATTGTGTGTAAATATATTTGTGAATTCTTGGATCAATTAGTTGTGAATTGTTATTTTGAAATTTTGGATTAATCAGTTGTGAATTGTTGTTTGTAAATTATCGTTTGTTGGTCTAAATTTTTAATATTTTGTAATTATGTTTATGTTATTTGAAGGTGACGGTGATGGATCAATCAGTTGAAAATTGTATCAATTTAGATGATGATGCGAATATTTTGAATGAGAATGAAATCCCCTCCCAATCTCATGTATCCGAATCTAAACAGTTGAGTAAGAGGGTGAAAAAGGAAACTTCAAATGTTTGGAATTATTTCACTAAAACAGGCAAAAAGCAAGATGGAGTAGAAAGGGCAACTTGTAATGGATGTAAAATGGAGTATAAGGTTGGCTCTAAATCTGGTGGCTCTAATTATGGCACTTCACATTTACGTCGTCACATTGAAATTTGTAAATCCATTTCATATTTTAATCCACATCAAATGCTTTTGGATTATGAAGGGAGATTAAAGGCTAGAAAATTTGATCCTAGAATTTCACGTGACATGCTTGCTGAAGCCATAATTAAGCATGACTTGCCTTATGCTTTTGTTGAATATGATAAGATTATAGCTTGGGCTAAGTATGTAAATCCAGATATAGTCATGCATTCTAGAAACACTACTGTATCTGATGTTCAGAGAATTCATTTGAGAGAGAAAGAAAAACTTAAACAAGTCATGGCCAAGGTACCTAATAGAATTTGTTTAACTTCTGATGTATGGACAGCATCTACTTCTGAGGGCTATATTTGTTTGACTGTTCACTTTGTCAATGAAAATTGGAAGTTATGTAGCAAGTTACTCAACTTTTGTCGTATGCCGCCTCCACACACTGGAGTTGAATTAGCTGCCACTATATTTGATTGTTTGAAAGAATGGGGAATAGATAGAAAAATTTTCTCTCTTACTCTAGATAATGCTTCTGCTAATGATAACATGCAAGCTATCTTGAAAGGCCATCTTCAGTTGCAAAGTAGCTTGATTTGTGCTGGTGAATTTTTTCATGTGCGTTGTTGTGCTCATATATTAAATCTTATTGTTCAAGAGGGCTTGAAAGTAGTGAATGAAGCATTGTTTAAAATTAGGGAGAGTGTGAAATATGTAAAGGCATCGGATGGGAGGATGAAAAAGTTTCAAGAATGTGTTCAACACGTTGGTATTGATGCAGGTGTTGGGTTACGTTTAGACGTGTCAACTAGATGGAATTCAACATATTTGATGCTTGAAAGTGCAATCAAATATCGAAAAGCTTTTGCTAGCCTTCAATTTGTTGATAGAACTTATAAATATAATCCATCTGATGAGGAATGGGGGAGAGCAATGATAATTTGTGAATTCTTGGAGCCCTTTTATGAGACTACAAACTTGATATCCGGTTCTTCTTATCCAACTTCCAACTTGTATTTCATGCAAGTTTGGAAAATTGAATCGATTTTAAATGAGAATTTGTATGATGAAGATGAGGTTATCAAGGATATGTCTCAAAGGATGAAAATGAAATTTGACAAATATTGGAAAGATTATAGTGTAGTGCTTGCATTTGGAGCTATTCTTGACCCAAGGATGAAGCTTGATTTTTTAAAATTTTGCTATTCTAAGATTGATGCTTCTACTTGTCATGAAAAGTTAGAAAATGTGAAGACAAAGTTGTACGAGCTTTTTGAACAATATGCAAGCAACATTGGTGCATCAAGTACATCATCTCACTCAATGAGTAATTTGCCTAAGCAAGTCGAAAAGGGAACTAAACTCAAGGGATCAAAGATCTTTAGTGTAAGTTTTGTATCTTTCCTTAATCTTATTACATGAGAATTTATGTTACTTTATTTATGTTTTGATAATTTTTTTTTGTCAATGTATTTAAAAATGATAGGAGTTCAAAATGTTTCAAAATGAAACAATTTCTATTGCTGGAAAGTCTGAGTTGGATGTTTATTTGGATGAGGCAAAGCTTGATTATGAAGTGTTTGAAGACTTTGATGTACTTAATTATTGGAGGGACAATGCTAAGCGTTTTCCTGATCTTTCTGTTATGGCACGAGATGTATTGAGCATTCCGATTACTACAGTAGCATCAGAGTCTGCTTTTAGTATCGGTGGTCATGTTCTTACCAAGTTTAGAAGTTCCCTTCGTCATGAAAATGTTCAAATGCTTGTCTGCACGAAAAATTGGTTGCATGGCTTTTCTTTAGCTGCGGAAGGTATTGTTTATTTTATATATTTCAATATCTTTAATATTTCCTTGTTAAATTAATAATTTTAGTTAAAATTCAAACTCATTATATCTTTTTCTTTATGATAATGATATTAGATGATAATGATGAGGACTTGGAAACATCATTGCTGTCCAAAGAAGACTCAAATGTTTTTATTGCGGATGAAGATTGAGAAAAATATTAATTAATCTTGAAGTTTATGAATATTTGATTATATATTTATGTAGTTATGTTGATGGGATTGTAGTTTGTGTAATTGTATTAAAGATTGAAAATTTAAAATTTTATTTATGTTTGATGTATGTATATGTATACTTATTTATATTTGGTGTAATTATTTATTTGTTATATGTTTTTATTATTTAATTTATGAACTAAATCATAATATAGTTATATTTATTTTACTAAAATAATTTTTTTTTTGAAAAAAATGGGCTAGCCCGGCCCAACCCATGGGTTAGCAAGGGGTGGGTTGGGTTGAGGATTTTGTAGCCCATATAAAATATGGGCTGGCCCGTCCCAACCCATATTTTTTCAGCCCACAAGGGCTAGGGCCGGGTTGCCGGGCCGGCCCATATTGACAGGTCTATTTGTGCGTCCCTTATTATGTTTCACCACTAAGTAAAACTTCTCATGTAGGCTAATAAATGTCAACTCAATTTATCATAGTTTAAAAGAAAAAAATAAAAAGCGTAAGCAGTAAAAGTAAAAGATAGGGAAAAAAAAGGCATTTATATCTTGATTTCATCCATTGCCCATGTGTTTCATCACCATGTGAACGCATATATAGACAACAAACAAAGTCTAGTTCACGTAGCAGAAAACAATAAAAGGGTTATCAATAAAATCCCTAAACGAACATGAAGAATCAATTTTGAGTTAGATTAAGTGGCCCTAAACATATCATTATGTTCAAAGTTGTCTTAAATTTGATTCTTTGTTAGATCACCAATTGGAAAACACCAAATTGGCTTCAAAGTGTGTAATAACGTCACTGTCTTTAAGATTTTATTTGTGCCCACTGAGTGTATGCAAATAAGTTACAAGTAATAAACTTCAAAGATACAATAAAGTTCAGTGATTGATTGCATTTTGCATTGAAAAGGTCAATCCTTTGAACATTCACCGATGTATGTCAAGATTATCTACACTTCTGCAAGATTTTCTAGAGTAAAATGATACAGAAGAAAATTTGGAGAATATTAAAAAGAAAAGAAAGAGTGTTATTTTATTGTTTTTGTATTTTTTTTGTTTTTTGTTTTAGATGAAGGTTTTATTCATAGACAATTAAGATAGTTTTCCAATAAATACAATTGTGCCTGTTTCAAACAGAATTTGTTGCTACCTATTTCCAACAAAATCTATTTCTATCCATTTTAAGCAGTTATGTCTGTTGGTTAACAACAAAAAAAATCATTTTTCAAACCACAAACATAAATGTTTTGTTTGTTGACAAAAAAAAATTTATTTTCAGTTGCCTACACCTCTACGTTCCACATGGCCAAGTGTCATTATAATTAATTAAATATTTACTTTAATTAATTTTAACATCACTCAAGCCCAAAAAATCCATGCATGATCGATTGCTTACTAAAGTCCAACTACAATGAATGAAACTTATTCCCCGTTTTATTTAATGAATTTTTTTTTCTTTCATTTTTTCAGTGAAAAATTGTATACTGCATTCATTATTACTGAAAATATCTAACATTCTTTTATTTCAAGGTAACCTGCCAGGATGAAACAAATTACTATATCCTAAATGTGGACATCGAAGAGGAAAATACTTTAAAAGCACTCATTGTCATCTTATAGCCACGCAGTAGCTTAACTTGTTTTCTTTTTCCCGAGAAAACTAGTATCGGTTGGTGTCTTCTGACTAGGTAAGATAATAAACTGGTGCAATACTTAGCTTTCAGTGACATGAGTTAGCCGAAAGACTTACTTCTTTAATATATAGGAAACAAAGCAGAAGGGAAATATTAAGAAATTAAAGAAACTAGTAGTAATGCTTTTATACGTAGAGTGAAGGTGACAAGGGATGTTAAGTACGTCAGGTACCACTAATATCTTCCAATAATGCACTGAAAAGAGGCAAATATATGTGAAACTTGATGATTTTATGAGCTGGATTTGATCTGGTAACAAGGGTGATATAACAGCTACTCTCATCATGTGTGGCTACAGAGAAAGAAAGGCCCGTTGCACTGCCCTCTCATTACTTTAATTAATTAAAGCAAGAATCCCGCAATTTTGTCGTATTTGATTAGGCCCTTTGGAACAAAGGTGACTCATGACAATTATCTAAAGTGAATGGTAAGCTTTGGGGCACTTGCAGAACAACTTTGATGAAATCTAAGTTAAAACGAAACTTGAAATTTAGTTGATTAATTAAGCTCAGATTATGCACTTAATCAAAATCCCAGAGCTTCAAAGTTGATTAAGCTCTGGACTTGAAATTTAGTAATTAGATCTAAAGGGAACTTGATGCGAATTGATAAAGAAGCTCGGAATATGCGGTTAAACAAGGTTGACATTAAGAATTCCTTTGCAAAGCGTTTAGCAATAGATGTTTGGTATAGGCTCAAATTGCATGGTTACTCAAAAACAGAGTATCAATTCAATCTGTATCCACTGCCACCTAGTTTTCTTGATAGCAAGGTCATCACAGATGGATAGATTTACTGAATTCTGGAATAGATAATATACAAATAAGAGGAAAATTTGTTGGAACCAACTGAATTGTTCACACTATTCACTTAGATTGCTTTATATCAAGACTTGGTGGAACATTAGATCTTTGTGCTGCGTATCCTAATGGTTGTTATTATTTCACAGCTAAGTTCAGAACAATAAAGATTGTTCAACTAATCCTAATATCCTAGCAGTTAATGGATGACTCCATTCTCTTTCACTTCTTTGGCTGCTATTGCGTCTTCTTTGACATCCTCCCTAACAGATTGTTCCTTTTCTTTTTCTTCTGTCTCTGCTTGTTCCTTTCCCTTCTCTTCTTTCTCAGCCTTTAGACGAGCTTCTTCCTCAGCTTTCTTTCTTGCTTCCTCCTTTGCATCCTTAAGGGCCTCAATCAAATTCTTCAAACAAGTCTCATCCTCTTCATCATCATCTGACTTCAGCATCAAATTCTCTGCAACATCAGCGGGAGTCATATCTGTTTCCTCCAACAATCTGCTTATTTCTCCGAAAAGTGGATGCCAGTCAATGTCCAAATAATTCTTCGCAAGCACCTTGAATGCTTCTAAGCGACAATAGGACATTTCAATGTGCTTGTCCATTCTTCCTCTCCTTATTAAAGCTGGATCAAGCTTCTCAACATGGTTGGTAGTAAAAACAATGATTCTTTCACCCCCACAAGCTGACCAAAGCCCATCAATAAAATTCAAAAGCCCTGATAAAGTTACCTCACTATCCTTTTTCTCCTCTTCTTTTGCCTTCTTACTTATTGGATCCATCTCTTCTTCATTCTCATCTTTCTTTTTCTGTTTTTCTCTTTGGCCTGTAAGATCAAGAGAACAATCAATATCCTCTATCACTATGATAGATTTGTTTGATGTCTCAATCAAAAGCCTTCTCAGCTCTATATTATTCTTAACTGTAGTAAGCTCAAGATCATAGATATCATAATTCAAAAAATTAGCCATGGCAGCAATCATGGTAGATTTGCCAGTTCCTGGAGGACCATAAAGTAGATAACCACGCTTCCAAGCCTTTCCAATCTTAGCATAGTACTCTTTACCCTTACTAAACTTGATAAGATCCTTCTTGATTTCCTCTTTCTTCTTTGCATCCATTCCCAAAGTATCAAATGTAGCAGGATGCTCAAAAACTACATGGCTCCATTTAGTGCTTCTGTAACCAGACCAACTCTGGCCTGGATTGTTGGAGTAGAGCTTCCGCTGCCGGTTATCTGCTGCTATAGCCTTTCCTTGTTTGAGCACATGAATGAGATAAGTCCCGGTGATGAATTCCCGGTCACGTTTATGGAACTTGAGAACGTAATACCTCTTTTCATCGGAAGACGGATAAAATGAGAACTGTTGTGTTTTTGGAGTATTTCTTCTTGCAGCCCACCAAACCTTGACTCCTTCAAACTCATCAGTGATTTCCTCACCATAGTCCATGCTAAGGACTAAAGACTGACTATCTTTAACAACATCTGCCTTCAGCCGCTTAGCAAAAGCAGAGGACTTGCCACTGAGATAGTTCTGAATTGCAGAGAATGCTTCACTACGCTTCATCCTTTCACCAGTGAATTCATCAAACGTTACATGAATGTAAGGATACATAAAATTCGACAGCTTTTTACTATATCGAAAGATATAGTCCTGAAGCTGAGGAGGAAGATATTGTCGAAACATGGCATACATGAACATTATGGCTGCCATGGTCGAGCCTAGATTAGACCACATTTCTCCCTTCATCATCATTTTGCTCTACTCTCTCCGCTTTTCTAAGAATTATTGAATACTGTTAAATATATAGGGAAGAGATGATTGCTTGTGACTTGGCGTCTAAGTTTTAGCGCCCAGTGTGCATATTGAAACTGCTGACTAGCTTCTAGCATCTTTGTAGAAGCAATAAATGAACCATGACCTGAGGAAGTCAAGGTCTCTGTATTTATTTATTTTTCTTAATTTTGTAGGCCGGGGAAAGTCTTTCGGTGGGTAGACATAGCCGCCAGATTGGACTCCTATCTCTTCTCCCTCCAGGTGGTACTGCCACCTACAAAACAAAACAAGAAGCGTGAGAGTTTTTTACTCTGGCTATTGGACGTCGGCTTTGACACGTAGGTGGTTCGAAATTTCTTTCCATAATAAAAAAAATTATTAAAATTGTTTGGAACCCCAATTGGATGTATGACCTGTTAGGATTGGGTCCACATGATGTAAATGGGAATGATGTCAGAATGTGTAAACATGGACACAGCCTTTTGGTCATCCAAAAGGGTGGAGAACCATAGCTGTCTAGATGAATGAATGAACCACTGTCACATGATTTAACGCCTAGTTGCCCATATTAAATCTTTCTACCGGCGAGGACTGTATGAGGGTTGGATTCTCTATTTGCCACTAATCCTATGACTGAACTCTCTTTCTTAGATGTTGATTCAGATTTGACCATCTAAAGGTACCACAGTTTAAAGCGTGTTCTTCTGCGACAAGAGAATCACATTCCGGATTTGATTGGAATAATTAACTTCAACACCCTTCTCTGAGCAGGACCTTAGGCTGTCTGGGCCTTTGTACTGGACCCAATTGGTAGAAAGATATAATTAGTCGAAAACAGATATAAAATCCAATCATTTAAGGTACATGTCCACCTCCATGGGCTATACGGTGGCCTTTGAGCTGTGGGAAATTGTACATTGGCCCCGACATCGTTAAGTGGCCCTAGCAGGAAAAAATGATCAATAAAATAGACCCATCTTAAATTGAGTGTTTCTTCCTTTCTGATTTTAACTTTTGCGCGGCGTTTGGTGCGGATTCTTCCTCTCAAAATCATATTTACCATGATTTGCCTTCACTAATTAGATTATTGTATTTGGTAAGAACTTGATAATTTCACTTGACACTAATCTTAGGTTATTGAAGGTGATTAATCTACTATTTTGGAAGGTGATCTAATTCTCCTTCCAAAGGTTAAAACCTTTTTTTCACCTAAGTGAAGTCATTTATAAAATTAATTACCGATAATTTTACCTTTTTAACTTGTGAATAAAAAAACTTGCTTCCTTTTTAAAAATTATAAATAATTTTAATTCTTTCAAAAACTTTTGCAGCCGATTCAAAGGATATTACATATTTCCCTTCATATTTTTTTATTGGTTATGTATATAATCTTTGTTTTGGTAATAAATTAAACATTAATTTAATAAATTAAATTTATCTTCCCGTTCGAAGCTTTTTCATTTAATTTAAAAGGTTAAGAGTTGGCTTATCAAAGATAAATATGTTTTTCATATTTGTTTATTGAATTAATTAATCAATTAATTACAACTTATTTAAGAAAATAAACTAATAGTATTTCACAAATTCTTACATTAATAAAAATATTAAAGTTATTAATTTATTAACTTTTAAAATATAGTTATTTTGGCATTTTATAAAAAGATTTTGTTTGATTTTATGTACATCAAACTTGGCGTGATCTCTTCACTTCAATGTCGATTAATTATCAAGTAAAACTATTATCAATGTCGGTTAATTATCAAGTAAAACTATTATCAAATATGGTTATTATAAATCAATTGATAGTATTATCGTAATAATAAGATGAAGGAAACCACACCGTTACCTCGAATGCTATTTGTTTGAGTTATCTTCAGATTCTAGCAAGCATGATTGGACAGCTAGATACAATTTTAGTATTTATTTACAAACTTTGTAATTCAAAATTGATTCAAACTCAAGATTTTTACCGAAAAAAATTAGAAGAAATAACTCTCTTCGTAAACCTATTTCAGAAATCATCATTAATATAAAATTAATTATTTTTACTCAATTATAGTCATGAGGTGATAAAAATACCCTTAAAACTATTTCAGACAAATTAAGTGCTCTTAAATTTTTTCTCCAGCCATTCGTCTGCTATGCTCCTCATTTTCCTCTCTCGCCATCCAACTTTTTTTAATTTTACCACCATCACCATCTTTTTCTATCTATCTTTCATCATCTCACCCTATCATCGCTGATCCACAAACCAAAGAGCATGATATGAAACGTAACAACATATTCTTAAGTTTATTGCTTGATATTCACAAACTCTCTCTCTGTCTATGTCTCACCATCTCACCATTGATCTACAGACCAAAAAGTATGGCATGGTGAGCAACAACAGCTTTTAGGGTTTATTAGTATTGAATTTTTCAATGATTCAAGTTTGGTATAACAAGCCTTGACGTGTAACAAAGTGATTCATGTCTTGGCATGTAACATTAGTAGGAAGAATGGAGAATGAAGCTTTGGCATGTAATATCTGGTGCTAAAACTTTAGCCTTAGCGTATAATGTCTAGTATTGAAGCTTTGACTTTAACATGTAACATTTGGTACTGAAGCTTTGACCTTAGCATGTAACATTTACTGTTGAAGTTTTGGTGTGTAACATCTTCTTCTGAACTGTGTAATATTTATTTAAACATAGTATGTAACAACAACATTTATTAAACATGGCATGTAACTTTCTCTTTAGTATTTTACTATAACATAAATTCTAGGAGTTAAAATGCGTAACAACTTTTTTTTAACTGTAATAATATTTTTTTGAGCATGGCATGTAATAACAATATTTTTTAAGATATCGTGTAACTTGTTCTCTATTTTTGTATTTGACTAAGATATAAACTTTTGGAGTTAAACACCTTTACAATAGAAATAAAGCATAAAATCAGAAAGGAATTTGACATGAAAATTAAGATGCATTGAAAAATTATTTAATGTAAAATTGGAATAAAATGGATTTAGACAAAAAGATATTAGCCTGAAAAATTATTCAACGTCCAATTGGGATAAAATGGATTTGGATAAAAAGATATTATCCAAAATCCTCTAATTCTGATAATTAAGTTTTAGGTTATTTTAGTTGTCACATTTCCTTTAATCATAAAAAAAAAAATGGAGATTAACATCAGTAGTAACAAGAAGCTAAAAACAAAGAGTATGACACTTTGAAAATGAGAAGGTTTCATTAAAGGTAATTTTGTTCAAAAATTTTTTCTCTTGGGTATAAGCAATTAAAATTAAAAAGAAGGTTATTTTTGAAAGCCCTTTATCTTTGAAGGCTAAAACACTTCATCCCTTTTTATAGTTAAATCCAAAGTCCAAAGTGCTTTTGGCTATAACCGACTTAAGAGTGTTTATGCCTTTAGATATCAATAACACGCAGAATGCTTTCGTTACAAGTTTCCAAATAACATATCGCATTATGCTAGCAAATTAGATCCTTTGTAACATGAAGAAAAAGGTTCATAATGATGGGGAGTGGTTCTAAAGCTTGATTTTGAGAAAGCATTTGACTACGTGGGCTTAGATTTCTTGTTTATGGAAATGGATATATGAGTGCATCTCCATAGTTAGAGTCTTATTCTTGTTAATGGGTTTGCTACACTAGGGATGATAATGAGTACTTTGTTACAAGGTACCCATGGGCACTCGACCTAGTTATATAGGGCTAGAGTACCATATAATCACGTTTAAGTGGAGTTTGAGTAGTAATTTCACTACCCGTATTGGGTTCGGGTAGGATTCGAGTGCCATCTCAAGGGTACCCAATACCCAAACTCGATTATATATATATATATATATATATAATTTCATGTAATTAAAGACACCGATATTATTAATTAAATTAAATTAATTCATGAAACTGTGATTATTAATTTACTTATAATATCTTTTAATACATATACTCTATATATTATGTTAATTTATAAAGAATATAATTACTATTATATGTATACTTTTAGTAAATATATTTTAAATATAAATATATTTGCTTTCTATGTTGTGTTAATGTTACAAAAATTATAACTTATAAAATTGTTAATTATAATATACATACCTTTGTTTATAAAACCTTATGAAATACATACCTAAAAAGAAATTGTGAAATTAGAATAGTTTTGGAACCTAACTATTTTTTTTTTAATTTCATGGACAAACTCATATAGCTAATTAAACTTATAATGTTTAAGTTGTTGTTCGAATATTTGTTTTTAGTTATTTAAGTTGATATTTGAGATATTTGTTTTTGATTATTTAAATTTACATATTTTTGTTTGTGTGCTTTTATAAATTTAATTATTAGTGAATTATATAGAATATGGATGAAAACTTATTGCATATAGACATAGGAATAGATTTGGGTTCAAGTAATTAAATACCCAAGAAGAGCATTTTAATAATTTTTTTATATAACCAAGTTTTTAAGTGGGTTCGAGTAATTATTAGGTAGTGGGTATGTATTAGGGTTCAGGTTGGGATAGTAAATTTAAAAAATATTATGATAATTATAGGGTTGGGGTACCCCATTTATTACTCGAGTTCGAATACTTCAAAATTTGAGAGTACCTTACCTGTTAACATCTCTAATTACACCAAAATTATCAATCAAATGAGGACTTTGATATGAAGATTCTATTTCTTCTTTTCTCCTTATTATGGTAGTGAAAACTCTTCACCTTTTATTATCCCAAGCAAAGCAACTTTTTTTTTTCCATAGTATTAATCTCACAGCTTCAATGCTAGTGATATCCCATCTATGGTTTGTTGATGACATAGTCATCTTTATGGAATTGGGCTCTAGTGGTGTTTCAACATTAAGCAGCTTTTGCGATGTTTTGAGCTTAGCTCTAGATTGAAAATTAAGTTTGGTTGCTAATATGGGAGATGACACGTCTAGGATTCTACTTTGGTGAGTGGGTTCTCTACCTTTCTCATATCTGGGTATCTCACTCAATGAAAATTCGAAGAGCCTCGGCAATTGGGAGCTTGTGATCAACAAAATCAAAAGCCACCTTGCTATGTGGCAAAGGAAATATTTATCTTTTGGGTAGAGGT